TTATATAATTGAATTTGTTAATAGTGTAATTAAAATTATTCTGATAAATGGAGTCAAGTTTAAGTAAAATAAATAATATGTCTGATAAAGCAATGGTTGAATTATAGAAGCAGCCATTGATAATATGGAATTCTGGTTGTATAAATACAATAAAATATGTATTAAATTGCTCTAACAGATATTAGATAAATTAAAATCATGTGTTGAGGAAGTAAGTTTCAATTTGATGAGTAAAGATTTAAATTCTGAGGCATAATTATTGTAGAAATTATCAACAAATTATGCTATTGTATTTGATAAAGTGCTTGAGATAAATTCAAGAAAAATAGTCAATGCTCCAGAATTACCTATTGAATATTGTTCAAGATAACCAAATTCAACAAGAACTGTTTTAGGTGGAACAGAAGTGTAGAATTTCAGTAATAATTGATAAAAATAATTTAGAGATACATTCTTAAAAATAGTCAGAATTTATAGAAGCTGAACAAACATTTAAGATGAATAAGTAAAAGATTTTTAGAAAGATGGAAAATAAAAGTACAAGTACAAGTGATGATGCAATGTTAAAGTTACTTTAAGGAAATATATAAAATGAAACTGAAAAAGAACTGTTAAGAATGTAAGAGGAAAATGAAGCAAATTTAATTGATCTAAAAAAACAACTAAAATTAAAAGGATTGTGGTCAGAAATTACTAGTAGTCATGCTACTTAAAAACTAAATGATTTAAATAGACATATGGAAAGAGAGTCATTTAAAAATGATTTATATATAACAGATCAAATTAAATAATCTAATGAAATTAAAGATGAAGATGAATTTGATATAAAAAAAGAAGTTAAAGATAAAATATTATTAGTTTAAAAAAAAACTGCTGAAAGAATAATGAGAGCAGCAGAAAGAAAGATTAGACTTGAATATGATTAATTTGTTATTAAGAAAACAGCAAGTATTTTAGTAAAAAAGAGTAAGACTTAAAATTTTTAAAGAATTGAAGAATTAGAAAGATTAATAAAAGATAGGAATGAAGAAATAGTAGAAAAGGAAGCTAAAATTAATTAATTATTTTTAAAATTTGAAGAATAAGAAAAGAAATTTGCAAATTTGTTAAAATAAATTGATAATTATAAAGTAACTTAAAAAATAGAAGTATGTAATACTATAGTGTAAAAAAATGGAAAGAAATCGGATGTAGAAGTATAAGTTTCAATGATGGATCCAAGAGTAGAATTATTTGAATTAAGATTATAAGAAATAATGGAGGAAAATGATGAAATGAAAGAAGAATTAAAATTATTACATGAGAAAGCTTTAGAAGATAAGATATAAAGTTTAACTGGACCTAAATAAATAGAAGAAGTCTTATTATTATTATTATAAAGTGATTTATCCCCTGAGAATAAAATAATTTCATTGAATACACTGTTATAATATATAAAAGATAATTCAGCAGAAGATATTGCAAGATTGGCACCAAATGAATTATATCGTATAGTAAGATCTAAATTAAAATTTAATTGTGAATCTCCTTTAGAAAAATTAGATGAATTATCTGCAGATGAAGATGATAGTTATGAAAAGAAATCAATAACAAAAAAGAGAGGCAGAAATAAAAAGAAAAGAGTTAGTCATATTGAAAAACCATTAGATGCATAAATTTAAGAATAAGTTGATCTTGATAAAATTGCAACATAAAGAAGATTAGTTTAATCAGAAACAGAAGATGAAACTAATAAATAATAGAAAAAATAGTTAATATAATTAAATCAAGTTGATGATATAACTAAAAAAACTAGTATTCATAAATAAATTGAATAAGTTTATAGTCCTAAATCAACTAATAGATCTAATATTACATTTAGATAAAAGTAAGGTTATTTAAAGAACAATCGTAATAATAGTGCAATAAATAATGATAGTTCCAAAAAAGATTAAAATTCTTCATCTGGTTAGTTTGGAGTCTAAAATAGCAGACCAACACTTACTTAATTAGAATCAAAAAGTAATAAATAGTCTTTCTCTAATTTTTCTTCTAAAGAATTAACTATGTAAAAAGGTGAGAAACATAAAAAAAGTTCTATTATGGATTAAAGTGATATTTAATGTGATTTCTATAAGTAAATAAAAACTAAAGATATTGGAATATAGGTTATATTAAAATAGGAATCGATTAATCCACCTTAACAATAACAAAATATTAATCATTTACCTATTTAGCAACCTTAAGTACCATAATAAAAAGAAAAAGTTGAAGAACAAAGTAAAAAACTTAACGAATCTTAAATTTATAGAGCAACAGCAGAATCTATTTCATAGAAAACTACTTAAACAGATGATTTTTTTTTATGGAATCTTTTTTAGAAAATGGCTGGCGATCTTGGTCTTTCAGAAGATTAATTGAAAAAATTAGAAACAGTATTTTTAAATGAATAATAATTTATTCATTTTTATGAGAAAACACAATCTTAAAAATAAATATCTAGAAATTCTACAATTTAAGTTGATACTTTAGGGGATTATAAAAGAGATAGTTTAAAAAATCTTGATAGAAGTACATGTTAAAGAAATTCAATTAAAATTAGAACAAGTAGTTAATAAAATATTTACACAAATAATGAGATGTTAGATAATTATACTAATTAAAAAAATGAGATTGCGGATGATGATTAATAAAAAAATTAACATACATAACCAACTTCATGGCATTCACCAGTTGTTAGTAGATAACAAAGTTAAATTATATTTTCAGGAACTTAAAATCAAAATAATAATTATGGATAAATAAATTAGCCTTGGAGTCCTAATGGAATAGGAAATGGTTTGAGATCTAATAGTCCTATGAATCCAAATTCAAGTTAAGGTATTAGAAGTGTAAGTTAACTTATAAATACTGGGGATAATGTTCATATATTAACATATGGAACAATATCTCCATCTGGATAATTTAATTAAAATAAACATAGAACTACATCTTCAAGTTAGAAAATTTTAGATGATATGTTGAAATCTAAAACTTAAATTATTAAATCTCAAGATTAAATATAAAGAGAATAGAAAGAATAAAAATTATTTTTTTCTGTTTTTGGTGATGAACTTTAAAATGATGAAGAATTTGATTTAGAAATTATTAGGTAAAATATGGGAAAACCTTTAGAAGTAATCTAAGATCATCTTAAAGAAGAATCTATTAAAAAAGTATTTACTTAATTGGCTTAAAAAGAAAAAAATGAATTAAAAGATAAAATTTTCTTAATTATTTCCAATTATTGTAATAAGAGTGTTCAAACAATCACATATTTTGATTTTAAAAAATATTATGAAAATTATATGAGGGTATGAAATAATTATTTATTGTAGGTTCATAAAAGATGCGGTGATGAATGTATTCATATTAAAAGATTTTTAGCAAGAATTGGATTTGGATTTGTAAGTAAACGAAAAATCTTAAATTTATCAAAATAAAGTGTATCTCCATTTGAATAGTTGCCTAAACTTAAATGAATATTATTAAAATAAATATTTATATAAATATATAGTTTTATATTTTTATGGGTAGAAAAAATAGAGATTTATCTTATTTGAAACCATTTTGTTTTTACTGTGATAAAACATTTAAAAATGAAGTGTATTTGCATTAGCATTAAAAAGCAAAACATTTTACTTGTTAAAGATGTTTCAAAAAGTTTTCATCTTGTGATTCATTAAAAAATCATGTAGAATCAGCTCATCATGAAGTTTTAACTAAGTATTTATCTATATTATTGTTTATTTTAGAATTCCTAATGCCACTGGTGATAGAAGTGATATTAAAAATAAAATTTTTGGAATGCAAGGAGTACCCAGAGTAGAAATTGAAAAAAGAATTAGAAAAGGAGCTGAAGAATATTGGACTAAAATATTAAGTGCTCAATATTAATAAAGAAGAAAAGAGAATAAATAAAGAATGAAGTAAAACAGGGAAATAAATAAAAAAGAAATTTAATAAGATGCCAAAATTGATGTAAAACATTAATTTTATTTTTAGAATGAAAAAGAAGATATTGTGTAACATGAATATAATCCAGAAGCTAAACCCATCAGTTTTGATCTAAATTATGAACAATTACAAAAATAATGATGAATTATATAACTCATCCAGCAGTAATAAACTCAAATATAAGTTAATTTATAATAAATAGTACAATCAAAAATCAATCTAAAATTACTTAAAGTTTTCTAAGAAACCTATCATTTTCTTTTTTATTATCATAAATTCTTTCTAAATCTGGGATTAATCCCATAATTAAATCTTTATTTATTTCTTTTAGTAATGCTAAAACACATAATATTTGTTATTCAAATTAAAAATTTTCCAAAAGAATCCTTAAATTATTTATTATTTCAAAATCTTTGATTATATTTATAAATTATTAACTTGAGCATTTAAATAAAATTGCATAATGCAATAATAATATTTATTTTTAATGCTTTTATGAATTTTGAATAATTAAAATTTGATTGACAATATCTTTATTTTAGATTATTTAATCAACATAATACTAAGCATAATAATATAAAATTCTTAAAGTGTATTTTTATCTACTAGAAATTTGTAGATGTTTTGCACAATACTAAATAAATTGGCTTTCATGTAAAATCTTAACAAATTTCATATCGCCATTAATAAGATGAAACAAAATTTTTAAGATGATATTATCAATACCTTTATTTAAATTATTGCAACATAATTCCATTAATTCATCTTATATAAACTTAATTTTTATTAAAGCATAGAATCCTTAAAAACATTCTTACTAAATTTTTAGTATATTAGGATATTTTTTTTAGTACATCCAAAAAATATGAAAGAGTTTTTCTCTTTTTGCTATAGCATTTTCTTCTCAAATAAATTTAGCTAACACACTTAAGAACCATAATCTCAGAGACAAATCTTCAAGAGTTTTGTATCTATGAACTTCCTCTATCATATATTCAATAATGTTTAATTCTAAAACTTCTTCTTAAACAATTTTCTCACTACATAAATTACCTAAAGCAATAAAAGCATTAGTTTTTTCTTTTGATTATAGTAATTCATAAAAAAATTTTAATCCACCAATTTATATTAAATCTTAAGTTTGTTCTTTTGATCCTGTAGTAGCATCTGTAAGACGATTGATTGACTCTTAATCTTTAATATTGATTAAATTTTGCATTATTTCTTTTGATATTTATGGTATTCTTTTTTCTTAAAACATTTTTTCATTTTCATTTCTTCTTATTTTTTATGAGAAACATTCTCTTTTTTAATATAATGAACTATTCATAAAGTTAAATTTCAAATAAAATTAACTAAATAGATTTAAAATAGCTAATTAGTTTTTTTATTTAGACTAAAAAATTGGGAGTATTATATATAATTATAATTTAATAATCAATAAATAAAATAATAAAATATTCTTCTTTATAATGATACAAAAAATATTCAAAAGTTTAATATCTCTTTGTTATTTAAAATCTTAACTTCTGCATAATNTTTATTTTAGATTATTTAATCAACATAATACTAAGCATAATAATATAAAATTCTTAAAGTGTATTTTTATCTACTAGAAATTTGTAGATGTTTTGCACAATACTAAATAAATTGGCTTTCATGTAAAATCTTAACAAATTTCATATCGCCATTAATAAGATGAAACAAAATTTTTAAGATGATATTATCAATACCTTTATTTAAATTATTGCAACATAATTCCATTAATTCATCTTATATAAACTTAATTTTTATTAAAGCATAGAATCCTTAAAAACATTCTTACTAAATTTTTAGTATATTAGGATATTTTTTTTAGTACATCCAAAAAATATGAAAGAGTTTTTCTCTTTTTGCTATAGCATTTTCTTCTCAAATAAATTTAGCTAACACACTTAAGAACCATAATCTCAGAGACAAATCTTCAAGAGTTTTGTATCTATGAACTTCCTCTATCATATATTCAATAATGTTTAATTCTAAAACTTCTTCTTAAACAATTTTCTCACTACATAAATTACCTAAAGCAATAAAAGCATTAGTTTTTTCTTTTGATTATAGTAATTCATAAAAAAATTTTAATCCACCAATTTATATTAAATCTTAAGTTTGTTCTTTTGATCCTGTAGTAGCATCTGTAAGACGATTGATTGACTCTTAATCTTTAATATTGATTAAATTTTGCATTATTTCTTTTGATATTTATGGTATTCTTTTTTCTTAAAACATTTTTTCATTTTCATTTCTTCTTATTTTTTATGAGAAACATTCTCTTTTTTAATATAATGAACTATTCATAAAGTTAAATTTCAAATAAAATTAACTAAATAGATTTAAAATAGCTAATTAGTTTTTTTATTTAGACTAAAAAATTGGGAGTATTATATATAATTATAATTTAATAATCAATAAATAAAATAATAAAATATTCTTCTTTATAATGATACAAAAAATATTCAAAAGTTTAATATCTCTTTGTTATTTAAAATCTTAACTTCTGCATAATGTAAGTAGATATAAAATTTCATATCATTTAAATCAACTTTGGTTAATTTAACTTCAATATTTCTCTAAATATTTAAATTAATACGTCATTTTTTGAAAATTCAACTGTTTTTTAATGTTTATTCACATAGCAAATAATAGTATCTGATTATCCAAATTTAATTTTGGACTATTTATTATGTTCTAAGAAATTCCAACTAGTATAAAGTTCTAAGAAAGAATAATAATAAATTTGATTACTTCCTCTAGAATCTAGATTAGCAAAGCTACATTTTTAAGTATTTGTAGCAACTCCAATACAAACTAATCCTTAACATTTTTCAATTTTAAAAGATAATTTGATATAATTATTCATAATATCATTTAAAGGAGGATACAATAAAGCAATACATCCTGCTTAAGATGATAATAAATAATCATTTATTATATTAGCTTCTCCTTAAATATGATTAAAATCAAGTCTGAATAGTATTTTATTAAAATCTTATTAGATTAGAAATTTAGAATGATTATCAATAGAGAAATCTGATTGAGCTCTTGAGATTTTACTTAATTCTACTTTAGATTAATTATTAGATCTAGATATACTAATGATTTCTGAATTTCTTTTAACTAATCTAGTTTTAATAGTATCTCTTTCATCATATTTTAGATTATCTAGTTATTTAGGGTATTAATATTTAATCTATCCTGTAAATTATTTAGTTCTTTTTTCGAATTCAGCTAAGAATTCATTGAAATAAGAGATTATTTAATGTCTTTTAGATATTTATTCTGAAGTATTTCTTAAAGCATTTCCTAGTTCATTGATAGTTGATTAGTTAATTAATTTGTATTCATTAGTAAAGAATCGAGATTAAAATGAAAAGGTTGATTATTAAATTGTTAAACCTATGAAGTTAAGTAAATCAATAATTTCCTTTTTAAATATCATATAAGATTGTTTAATATCCATAACAGAATCTAAATTTTTAGTTTTTTCTTCTATTTCTTGGAATGTATAACAAAATTATGAATGATCTGAATGAAAATCTTTTCGACAAGCTAAACACAAAGCTGGTTGATGTTAACAATGTGTATAGAGACAAATAGAGGAGATATAATATTATTAATTTGAATGATAAGGACAAGGTATATTTGAAGGTAAAGGCATAATAAATAATAAATATAAATGAAAATAATTTAGTTATTGAGTTTAGTAACTTATGTATTAAGTGCAACTTTCTCAAGTACAAGTTTAAATGATGCTTTAAATGATAATGGATCAGTTTATGGATGGAGAGAAGAAGAATAAAGATAATTTAAGAATTGGGTATAGGAAAATTAAAAGACATACAATAATGAATTTGAAATAATATATAGAATGGAGGTATTTGTGAAGAACTATAGAGCAATGAAAGTATATTGATAAATATTAATAATCTTTTAGCATCATAATGAATAGTTACCAAAAGATGTATGGGGATTGAATATATTTTCAGATGAAACAACAGAAGAGTTAATGGATAAACTATTTATGAAAAAAGACTATGAAAAGCATTATGAGACTTTTAATGAAGATGATTTGAATGCTATAAAAAGTGATGCATTATCTCATAATTCGTTTTTATAAGCTGATAAAACAGTAGTTGTTAAAAAAGTAGTAAAAAAAGGATCAGCAGCTCCAGAAGAAGTTAAAACAAAAGTAAAGAATCCTCCAAGTTTAGAATGGTTAAAATAAGTAATTTCTATTTTATTAATATTTAGATTACAGAAGTTTAATAATAAGGAAGATGTGGTAGTTGTTGGGCATTTGCAGTTTAAGATGTTACAATAAGTAGATTAGCTATAGCTAATAAAAATAAACTTGATTAATTATCTAAAACACATTTAATTGATTGTGCTGATGGAAATACAGCAGGATGTGATGGAGGTTCTGTTGGTGATGCATTTGATTTTATTAATAAATATGGAACTGTTTATGAAAAAGATTATAGAGAATATGATTAAAAAGAAGGTGAATGTTCTAAACCTAAAGGTTCTATAGGATATAAATCCTTTAAATCTGTTGAGGCATTAACCAAATTTAGTAATGATGATATTGAAACTGCTATGTAAACTGGACCTGTTACTGTCCTTATGTATGCAGATGAATCTTGGCTTAGATATACTTCTGGTATTATTAATACTTGTGGATATCCTAAAGTTTCCAATTATTAACATGTTGTTTCTTTTGTTGCTTATGATACTTAAACATGGTTTGCTAAAAACTCTTGGGGATCTAAATGGGGAATGAATGGTTACTTTCAAGTCTAAAAAAATGGAGATGAAAATTGTACTGATAAAATTAAAAGAATTACATATCCAATTATTTGAGAGTATTCTAATATTATTTAAGTATTAATAAATTTAAAATTTACATTCATTATAATATTATTTTTATCAATTAATATTTTAATGACTTTATTTAATAATTCATAACTTTCTTTATATTAAATATTTTAATTTCTCAGTATCAGTTCCTTATATACTTTCAAACAATTTTTAAGCCTATTTAATAATTATATTCTAATTATATACATGATGAACATTATGTGAAATTGCCGCTGGATATATTGATGGATCAGTATATGCTAACATTATAAATGTATTCTCTGTAAATTCATCTATGTACACTGTAAATTTCTCGGATTTTACTGTTATTGCCTATATATTTGCTGATGTTTTCATACAAGTTAACTTAAATTACTTTATTATATTTGATAATCTTTCGTATTTTTAAATATCTTTTTTATATATTATAATAAACACCTTTTTTCTCATTTGTCTCTTAAAAGTCGATTATCAAAAAAGTAGATTTTTCAAATAAAACAACTTCCTCACAACTACAAGTTTAACAAAATGCTTTCAAACTCTCTTTTATAACATTAATATTTGGTATTAAATTTTGAACTATTTAAGACCAAGCTTTATATAATGTTTCATCCCAAATTGATGTTGAAAACACATCTTTGATTTCTATATTTAAACCATCAGCTCTTTAAATAATCTCCTTGTATTTTCGCTAATTTTATTAAATTATAATCATACTTCAAATACAATCTTTCTTTCAGATTCTTTTATTTTATCAAATTTATGAATTAAAACAAATACAATTGCTCCTGGAGAACATTCTGATAAACTTGTTACTGTTGTTTTAAAATCATTCAATTCTTTTAGAAAAAGCTCTCCTTCCTTATCTACATCAAATACATATATCAAAACTTCAACATTAGAAAATATTGTAGATTTCTAAGTTGTAAAATACTCTTACAATAATTTATCCTAAATTTTATATAATAAATTTACTTATCCACCACAATCCCATAAATTTATTTTGAGATTCCCCATAAATTTAAATGAATTTTAATTTACATCTACAGTCAATCCTATTTGCATAACTTAATTTGGGGGTGTATTGGCAAATATAATTGAATGCATTGATGTTTTACCTACTTTATGTTAACCCATTAATAACATTTTCTTTAATTTGTTCTCATTGTTATGACTCATTATATATCTATATAAAATTTAATATTTATTTACAAAATTTTTTTTAATAATTATATGGATCTAAGATAATGAGGAATATTTAAAATCTAAAATAATAAAATAAGAATGAATTAACAATCAAATAAAATAATAAAATTAAGATGAAGGTTATTATTAAAAGATTATTAATTAATTTTATGAATTAATATATTTACTATGAAGAAAGATAAGATAATTGTGAGTATGAAAAGCTTTTATAATTTGTAATCATTTAAAGTATCAAATAAAAATATTTGTATTTAATAAATGATTTAACTAAATGAAGATATTATATTGGAAAATCACACTATTGCAAATCTAGAAATAAATAATCTATACTCATAAATTAAGTACTAAAAAAAATAGTATTTCTTAAAAACTAACATTTAAATAGATTGATAAACAATTTAAGTAAAATTAAAAGGAACTTTGATAGCATAAATAAATAACTATCAGAAATTTTACATGATAATTCAGAGCTATGAAGCAAAGAATTGATAACAATAAATTAAGTTAGGCAATTGAATTTTTAAGAAAGATGAAGACTTTGAAATATGTAGTAACTATTTTAAAGGTTACACTAATATTAAATCTTTATATTGATCTACTTCAAAAGAAATAACTTTCAGAAATAGAAAAGTACATTGAAATTAATATTAATCAATTTCATAAGGAATAAATTTAAATGTTTAAAAATATTAATAGATAAATTAAGCATAATTTTAAGTCCAATATGTTTAGAAGTGCTAAACGAATTCCTCGGATAAATGGAAAACATTTTAGATAAATTCAGATTAATTACTATTTTATGAATTAATATTTTTATAAATTAAATGTCACAAGCTTCCTTTACTGGCTTTATTACTATTCAAGACATAAGAAAACCAAAATATGATGTAAATCGTTTGTTAGGTCCTAATAATGATTAGTTTGTGAGAGATATATTACCTATTAAAATTTAAAACTTTGAGATTAAAAGACTTGAATGGGATGACTTTTCTGGTGAACCAAAAAAAGAATCTTTTTGGATTGCTCATAGTTATTGGAGTGTTAGTTATAAAATTTCTTCATAAGAAACAAATAGAACTTCTTCAAATTAAAAATAATCACAAACAGTTACTAACCCAAAAATTACAACTAAAAATTTTAAAGAATAATCTTAACAATTTGGCTTGTCACCAAAGTACTCAAATTAAAATAATTCTCAATCCTCAGAAAGAATTAGTGTTAAATAATAATCACCTTAATTACCCCCTAAAATACCTCCATAACAAATAAATGCTCAAAAGAAAGTTAATAGTAGATTCACAAATTAAATACCTACACCAAATCTTAGAATATCAAGTCTTTAAAGAGTATAAAGATAATAAAAATAGAAAAACCTAACTCCTGAAAAATCATAATCAAGGAGTAATTCTAATAATGTGTTAAAGAAAGAATAAATTTCAAAATAAAAATTCAATATTTAAGTAACTTGCAAACTTTTAGAAAAATCATGGACAAAATCAAATTAATACGACGATTTATTAGAACATGAAACTGGACATTATTTAATTGGATGCTTATGTGCTCTAGAGTTTAAAAGATAAGCAGAATAGATGGATTTTAATAATATTGATGATCAAAATTAAGAGATTAAATCATTATTTAATACCAATTTTAAGGCGTTTCTAAAAATAGAAAAAGATTATGATGAAGAAACTAGTCATTTTTGTAATGAGACAATGCAAATGAAATGGAATAGAAAAATTAAAGAATAACTATTGTTATATGAAATGTATTTTAATAATTGATATCTTTAAAGTCTTTTTTAGAAAAAATAAAAACATATATAATCCAAATACTTTATAAGCTGATTTCTTTTATAGTTTTAAAGATCCTCCAACTAATTTGCTATAATACATATTTATAGAATTATAATATTAATAACATTTAACCTTGATATTTAATTTGTAAAATTATATATAAGACGACAAAGTAATTATATTTAAATTTATTTATATTTCTGAAAGTAAATTTAATATTTAATTTCATTAATAAACTTGAATAAGTGTAGGAGTATAAAATGATTGCTAATAAGATCAAATTTTAGAGGAATAAATAAGAGTATTCAATGAATAAATAAATTTAGACGAGAATCCGATAAAGTTAATCAACCAAATCTAAATAGTCATCAAGATAATTAAAAATTAAGAAAATACGAAACTATATTTTATTTTGAAATAAAACATTTATAATTATATAAATTAAAAGTGAATGTAAACATATTAGTGAGAAAATTTTTTTCTATTTAAAATGCTCATAATCAATGGTAATAATTTTATATTTCTACTTAAAATAAATATTATAATATAAAAATTAATGTATAAAGGCTACCCGACAGAAATTAAGAGCAGCACAGGGTAGAAAATAACGAGACCTTATAGTTAATAAAAGTATTTTGTTAAATAACTTAGGGAGTATATAGATATGAAATCATAAATAAAATAGTAATCATATTCATGTGAAAAGACAAACTAATCTACAATACTAAAAAGCAAAGTGTCTAGTAAATAATAAGTAAAGAACAAGGGGAAACCAACACAAACGCGATTTTAATTTTAATAACCTTAGAGTTTATAAACAACACATCGTTATAATCAATCGCCATATGTTAAACCTCATTAATAATAACAATTATTTGAATTATAGAAAACAATAATGGCAGATTCTAATAGAGTTGGTAATATTGTGAATCAAATGAAGTTTCATTCATAATCTAAAAAAAATTCATAACAGCCATAAAGGCATCATAAATCAAATTAAACAAATTATTAAGAAAAGTAAACCTAAAGTTTAAATGGCAGTTTTGAATTGAAGAAAAGAATCTTCACAACAAATTAAGATGTAAATATTAAGTAAAATAATATGATTGCAAAATCTAACAGAGCATAGTCAGTAATTGATGAATATAAGACTACAGCTATTGAATTATAATAAACAATTAAAATTCCAGAACCAATCTTACCTTAAAGAGTTATACCTTATGATTCAGAGTAAAAGTTTGATAATATAATATATAGAACTGAATTTGAAGGATATAGAAAAGGAGATTTCTTAACATTTTAATCAGAAAATGAAAGTGAAAATGATGATTTAAGGAAAGCAGGGATTGAAAATTTCTTAAAAAACTTAACAGATAAGGAAATTTTACTATTAGAAAAATATATATATCTAAGAAAATATGATATGATGGCGAGAAACTCGATAATATAAAGAAGGAATGAATTAATGAGTAATAATCATACTTCAAGAACTTCATAATAATAATATTAATAACAATTTTGCAAATTTAACAGATAAACTAAAAAATGAATTTATCATGATAATTATTTTTATAAAATTTTCTTCTTAATATATTACTTTTATATTAATCAACTGCTAAGTTTTGCTGTAAGATCTTCTGATTTTTTGACAGAATCAACATGATCAAATACTAAGTTATAAGCCTTTTAAACAACTTCTATTTCAGATAATCTAAAAGGTTTAAATAATATATACCTTTATGTTTATCTGCTGATATATGCTTAATGATATTATTCTTATTATTCCTTAGTTAATTATAAAAGTTCTTCAGTGATAGGAATATCAATTAATAACTATTCTTTTTAAGCCAGAACAATTTTCTAAATTAAATTTTAATGACTTACTTATTAATTGAATTTATCATTAAATTATTGATTTAAGTTTTCAAGATCGGTGGACAATCTTTTTCTTAAAGTTTCGATTTCACTCATAGAATTATCAAAATTAGCTGAAGCTACTTCTTCTGCTGCAATATCTTCACTAAGACTTTTGGAAGCACCATCTCTAATTTATTCTAGTTTTTCTAAAATTCTTTAGACAGTAGGAACATCAAATCTGGTAGTTAATTTAATAAGAATCGTAATAGGATGATTAGGACCAAATTATTAATGACATTCAGCATGAATTTGTGTTAATATAGTTTGTCTATCTTATTCAGAAGTTTATTGGTCAACAGCTCTGCTTAATTTTTCAATGATTAGATTTAATGCATTAATAACCTTGCTTGCTTATTCAACTCTTCTATTATAAGCTTTGACATCAGCAGCTCTAGCATTTCTAATAAATTATTCTTATTCATTAAGAATTGCTAATTATTTTTCATAGGTAATTATGGTTTCTCTAAGAATGACCAATAATTCAGCTAGAGTTTAGATTAATATATTAGCATTAGCTAAATCTGTATTTAATCTAGAGAGATCATCTTCTAATTCACTAATATTCTAATCAAAAACTGCCATCTATCTAGAGTGTGCAATATCATCATCAACTTAATCTTATTTTAATGAATCTAATAATTCTTAAATAAGTTTTAAGACTTCATCTACTTATCCTCCTGTTTCTAATTTAATTTATACTAATTCCTTCAATTAATCACTATATGGGCTTTGGCTAAACTAAGAAGTTTAATTTTCAATATACTTAATGAAATGATTTCATCAATAATGAAGCTTATGGAGTCATGGCTGATAAGCAAACTCCTATTGTCAATGCCAATATATTAAAACGGATTAAGCTCATTATTTATATAATAAAATAAATATTACTGAGAGTGTAAATGATCTATATATTATTAAATTGCATCAATATTTCATTCATTTTAAACCTATTTTCTAACTGCATCACTTAAAGAATATTGCGATCTCTCATAAGAATCCACTTTCTAAGATGATAATACATTTTATATATAAATACCCTATCATTAACATAGTCATCAACTCTCTATTTGAATTTGTCTTCAGAAGTTCCTACTTAAGTAGAATAAATTCTGTAAACATCAGTAAATAAATTTAGTTCTTCTTACAACCTTGCTTTATTTTTATTATATTATATTTCTTCATTTTTTAGGTCCTATCAATACTTTTATTAGATAATACTTCAATAGCTCTTTATTATTATTATTACAAAGCAATTCCTTTTTCTCTGCAACTTACTGCAGCTAATCTTGCTTAAACTAATTGTTCTTCTAATTTTTAGACATTCTACTATTCAGATTAAAGATCATAGTTTATTTATTCGTTTTCGATATCGATAGCTCCCTTAAAATCAGCTAAAGTAACTCCAGTTGTAATTTCAAGATCTTATGCATTTTTTATTTGTTCTCTTATATATCTTTCCATATCATTCAGCATATCAATTAATTATCCTTTAACTGTATTAATATTTCCTTAAGAAGAAGGTTAAATTTGATTCCAATCAATAAACATAGTATCAGCAAATTCATGTGCTAATTCAACCAATTCTGATATTTTTGCTTTTTTATACATAGTTAAAAATTTTTCAACATAAGCTCCATATCTATTTAATTAATTGTTATCTAAATTTTATAGTGAGTTTCTTAAAAATATTATCAATCTTAAAGTCATATTATCATTTTTAACTCTTTCAATATAATTTGATGAATGTGTGCATCTATTTTAAATTAAGGCTTTACCTATTTGTATCTAGAGTTTCAATTCTTTTATTATTATCAACTAGTCTTTTTTACAAATATGCAATGAATTTATTTGTTTTATCAATATCTGATTCCCTATCATTGACAGATTTATCTCGACTTGCGCATAAAAAGTTTTATTCTTAATAAGCTTTACCTAAATTAAATATTATATTCTCTTTGAGCTAAAATGCTTATAAGAATCTTACATTTTTAGAGACTGTAAAATCTGTATTAAGTGTTGTAAGTTCAACAGCTGAAGCTCCTTTTAAGTCTGCCAATAATTTTTCTACAGTATCAACTTCATTTTAACATATAACACTAACAACTAGCAATAACAAAAGGCTTTTCATACCGTTTTTTAATTTTTTTATATTATATTAAATGAATTTTACTTAAGAATAAAATAAAGAAACAAGCATATTTTACAAATCTAAACTTTGTACTCATTGGTCAACAAGTAACACTTTATATTATTTTATGTTTAGAGGGACATTGTGCTAAATAAGAAAAATGCAATTATGCACATGGAGAAACAGAATTGCGTCATATACCACAAGAATATTTAACTCATCCACATACTAATAACTCTAGTGCCTTTTCTATTAATAATGAAGGACAAACAAACATGGCTGTCATTTAATAAAATTCAATATAAGGATAACTTTTAAATCCTTTTTGGAAAACTAAAATTTGTAATTTCTACCTTCAAGGAAAATGTAGAAATATTATTGATTGTAATTATGCTCATGTTGATGATGAATTAAGAGATCCTACTAGCTAAGCATGTTAATCTATTTAAAACATACTTAAATTATAAGATCCTGTTTATAGATTATAATTACTAAACTATAATGCTTAATTCCAGAAGAATTTGTTAGAACGTGCCAAAACTATATTTGAATAGATTAGAAAAATGGAATTAATTCACAAAAATAACAATGATATTTAAGACATGTTAGAAGAAGCTAAATTATTGATTTTTTAAAAAGAAATCGAATAAGCAACACTAAAAATAATAGAAATAATGTCATTGCCTAATTTAAATATAGATGAAAGAGAATAACATTAAGAAATAAAAAGTAAAATCAAAGAATCTATTGAAATTCCTTAAGTTTAATTTCCAACCACATCTAAATATCCACCTGAAGATATTGAAAAAATGAAATAATTAATGGAATAAGAATAAGGCTAACGATTACCTATACCAATGATACCTACCATCAAACCATTTCCTAATCATTAATAAGTTTATTAAGATAGATGTAGAAACCAAAAATTAACATGATAATTATATTATGTAAATAAATACATAAATTTTATTATTATTATATTTTATTTATTAATAAATGCCTATCATTTTTTAGCTTGTTATGCTGCTTACTTTTTTTTTTCAGCTTCAATTCTTTCTTTCTCCTTTTAATCTAACCATTCTTTTTTCGCTGCCTCAAAATTTCTTTCATATTTTATATCTTATTAATTTGCAATATTCTGTAAAGTTGTTCTACCTTATGGACCTTCAGCATTTTTTCTACCATTTTAAGGTCCTTTTTTATCTGTTCCATTTTTAAGATCTTCTAATAATTTTAACTACTATAATATCATGATCATACTGTATTCTCAGGTGTTAAATCCTCATAAACCCATTCATTATTAACTTACATCATTGGAGCATTAGCACATGCTCCTAAACATTCAACCTCTTATAATGTAAATAATCCATCTGCTGATGTTTCTCCATTTTTTATATACAATTTCTATTCAATAGTTTTTATTATTTCTCTAGATCCACATAATTAACATGGAGTTGTACCACAAACTTAAAGATGGAATTTACCAACTCTTTCTCTATTAAACATCGAATAAAATGAAGCTGTTTCAAAAACATCCATTTCTGGTATTTCTAATATCTTTGCAATCTATCTATTTAACAAATAGAATAACCTTTTTCATTGCTGATAAACTCAAAAAATTATTATTTTATTTTTGTGCAAGCATTAATAATGGGATAGTCCCTGATTTTTTTTCATTGGTAGGAAATTTTGCTAAAATTCCTTCAATCTTTTTATAATTTTCATCAGTAAAATCAAATGGCACTGAATCACTATTATCATCTCTATTTCTATGTGCAACAAACACATTAGAAAATCTTTAAATTGATTATCTCTGAACTAATTATACAACTTTTTATATCATAAATTAATTAATCAAAAGTTTTCAATGTTATGTTCACTATATTTTTTATAAAGATTAGAATAATCATCAATTTTTCTATTATTTTATTTTAATTTTCGAATTTATGATTTTAGAAATCTTCTCACTGTACTGTCATCTAACAATTAACTAGATTAACTTGTATCTTAAGGCTAAATATAATTATTATTTTATACAATATTACTTTCTTATATTGAAATACTATTCTGCAATATTTTTAATTTTTAATTTTCTTATTTCAATTTTTCTCTAAGATAAGAATTTGATAAATATTGATATCTTATTTTTAATTCTTTATTTTTTTATTCCTATCTCTCTAAATTTATCTGCTATATTTAATTTTTCCTTTACTCTACTTCTAGTTGACGATGCAAATCATACAACTGATTTTTCAATGTCTAATTCTCACATCTCTCAATAGAATGAGATTGTTATAATTTTTTGTATTTAATTTTTAATTGTTCCTACTTTTTTTGAATAATATTAAATTTAAGAAACAACATATTCTCTAAATTACTTTAAGAATCGGATGTTATAGTGCAGCAATCTGAATTCTCATTTAATTGTTCAATATAGTCATCAATAGCATTGAGAAAGTTCTTCATTTAACCTTTTTGATTGAACATAAATTTCTTTCTTGTAACTTCAGTTTTTGGTTTGGAATCAATCACTTTACTTTTAAGATTACCAAATGGATCATCTCTATATTTGTTAATAAATATTTTAGTTACAAGTCTAATTTTGAAATATTCTTTTTGTTAAAAGTTGACTTTGATTGATGAAGTGAAACAGATATTGAATCTGTGAATGTTTTATTATTCTTTAAATATAAGATTGATATAGCCTTACTTATGAAGACTTATGTATTTGCATAAAATCAGAATTTAACGATTATCTTCTGCTTCTCTTTCCTAATTCTTGTTTATAATCGATTATACTTTACTTGCATAATTAATACTCATGTAAATATTAATAAAATTAATTACTAAAATAAAAGACTTTCAAATAAAGGAAATTTTGCTATTATGAATATATAATTTTAATGAAAAAATTAATTATTTCCACAGTTTTTAAAATGCTTGTTTATGGTTAATAAGATTTAGCAGAAGCATTCACGCATCAAGCGATCGTGATAGAACAAAACTAAACTGGCCTAATTTATGACTTTATTGTGTGATGTTCAGCATGTGAGATAAATTGAGAGTGATACAAATTAATAAAAATCAGCATCACTCTATAAAGTAAGTAATTAATTTAAATAATTAGTTTATAATTTTAGATCATTTGAGTTATAATTAAATTATATTTTTATCTTTTTTTCATATATTATCATTAAACTGGAGTGAATAAAATTTTTTTTAGCTTTTATTTTATTGGGGAATAAAATAATTTATTATTTAATATTGATAAAGGCTGTAGAACTATAAGTTAAATAAAGTAGATTTGGTAAAACAAAAATTGAAACTAAATCATTAATTAGCTCATTATAAAAATGAGAACATTGAGATACAGAACAGCAAAATAAGAAATGAATGATATCAGTAAAGCTTTATAATCTGTGGGTTCAGTATAATTTATGTACATAATCATGTAGATGTCAAAATAAGGAGGAAATCCATTTATAGAGATCAAGAGAACTTTAGAAGAATTTTATGCAAAGATAACTATATTAGCTAAATCAGATTCTCCTCTTTTAACTTTGGCCGGTTCACTAGAAGAACTGTTACAATTAGATTTTCAAGGATCTTGCTAGATTAATTTTGGATGAATACAATTCAGAAAAGAATAGAATTAATAAGTTAAGCAAATAGAAATTAACAATTATATGAGGAAAGAGGAGAAAGAAGACAAATATACAACAATTAAACTTTATAATTTATAATTCTAAAATTGAGGAATTTAATAGTTTTTGTGATGAAATATAAAATATTTAAACATTTGTAGAGAATAAATAAAAGGGTTTAGAGGATAGTGGGAGTTCTCAAGATATTTTAAGAATATTTGAGGTTCAATGAGGGGATAGCAATTAGAGTTGATAAATCATTAATTAGTAAGGCGTCAGCAATTTAAGATGCATTAAAATAAATAGGTAATGATGTAAATTGTTAAGTGGGATGAGTTGCAATTATAAATCTTATGAAAATAAAGAATTAAATAAATTTCTTTTTTAAATAAAAAATGAGTAGTGTTCAATATGTAAATTCTAAAGCTGAAGTTCTTCGTAAATATTAAGCATTAGCAATGAATATAAATGCAGCAGCAGGATTAATGGAAGTGATGAAATCTAATCTTGGACCAAAAGGAACACTAAAGATGTTAGTTGGTGGAGCTGGATAAATAAAACTTACAAAAGATGGTGCAGTTTTGTTATCAGAGATGTAAATTCAACATCCAACAGCAGCAATGATAGCTAGAAGTGCTACAGCTTAGGATGATATAATTGGCGATGGTACAACAAGTAATGTATTATTGATTGGCGCATTAATGAAATAAGCAGAAAGATTATTAGCAGAAGGAATTCATCCAAGAGTAATTACTGAAGGATTTGAGTTAGCTAGAAAAGAAGCCTTATCATTTTTAGATACTTTCAAGTATTAGTAAATAGATAAGGCTGTATTAATAAATGTGGCTAGAACTTCATTAATTAGTAAATTAACACCAGATGTTGCAAATCAGTATTAAATATAATTAAATTTAACTTAGAATAATTGAAATTGTTGTAGATGCAGTCTAAATAGTTCAGGTACTTGAGAAACCTATTGATTTATTTATGGTTGAAATTATGCATATGTAACATAAAATGGGAGCTGAAACTGAATTAATAAGAGGATTAGTTTTAGATCATGGAGCTAGACATCCAGATATGCCTAAATTTGTTAAGAAATGTTATATTTTGAATTTGAATGTTTCATTGGAATACGAAAAGACAGAAGTAAATAAAAAATCAATAAATAGGTTCATAGTGGTTTCTTTTACAATACAGCTGAGGATAGAGAGAAATTAGCTAGATCTGAAAGAAGATTAACAGATGATAAATGTTAATAAATTATTGATTTTAAAAGAAAAGTTTGCGAAAAGAATGGTTATGGATTTGCAGTTATTAATTAAAAAGGAATTGATCCAGTATGTTTAGAGATGTTTGCAAAAGAAGGAATTGTTGGTATAAGAAGAGCTAAAAAAAGGAATATGGAAAGAATAGCAAAAGCTTGTGGTGGTAATTCTGTTAATGCAGTTGAAGATTTGACAGAAAACGATCTTGGATATTGTGAAGTGGTAAGATATTTAATTAATCATTTAATTAGTTAAGAGAATATACTTTAGGAGAAGAGAAATATACTTTTATTGAAGGTGTTTAAAATCCTACTTCATGTACAATTTTAATAAGAGGACCTAATGAACATACTATTGCATAAATAAAAGATGCAATAAGAGATGGATTAAGAGCTGTTAAGAATGCTATTGAAGATAAATGTGTTATACCTGGAGCTGGTGCATTTGAAATTGCCACTAGTGTTCATCTCTCAAAATTCAAAGATTCTGTAGCTGGTAAAGCTAAATTAGGAGTCTAAGCATTTGCAGAATCTTTATTAGTCATTCCTAAAGCTTTAGCAGAAAATTGTGGATATGATGTCTAAGAAACTTTAATTTAAGTTACTGATGAATACATTCAACATAATATACCTGTTGGTGTTAATGTTAATGAATAAGGATTTGTTGCTCCTATTGCTAATGGTATCTTTGATAATTATTGCTCAAAAAGATCATGGTTGAACATTGCTCCAACTTTAGCTTAATAATTATTATTGGTTGATGAAGTATTCTATTTTTTATTATTATTTTATAGATCATGAGAGCTGGAAAATAAGCTGGTGGAGCTCCATAATGATAAGAATGATATTATTATGTTAGATTATTACAAAATTAAGTTAATCAATTTCCAATTTATTTATATGTACACTATTTTGGTTTTGGATTTTAGTTATCTAGTTCCTTCTTATAGTTTTCTTCTGCTATTGTTGGATCTGGAATTACATGGTATATCCAATATAAATAACAATACAAACTATTATCACTCTCCTAAACTACATATATTAATCTTTGCTCCAATTTCACATATTTTCTTTAACCATTATAATTCTATAATTCAATTGAAAAAAAATCCTGTTTTTTAGAAACTGCCTCAAACATCTTACTCCATATATCCATATAAGATTCGACTCTTATTGCACATGGTAACATTTCAGTTTGAATCAGGTTCCATTCCATCATCTCTCTTGTTATACCCATTAAATGAAGATATTTTATGTTGTTTATATATTTTAGCACTTTAGATCCTGTTTAATCATATCTTATCAAGTAAGATTCATATGGATATTAAGATGCATACATGTCAACATAGCATATATCACTACATGAATTGATTTAAATATTTCTTTTTTTATGTTCCAACATAAAATTTCTTATGTCCTCTTTACTTTTCTACAAGTTCATTTACTCTAATAAATTATATATAACTTCTATGCTTACACATTACAAATTTCTAGGGAACAATGTAAATATTTATTTATCTGAAAAGTAATCAGTCTGTAAAATTTTGTACCCTACTGTAAAGAGATTTGTGCATAATTCACCTAAATTAGAATTGATTTAGTAATCAGTGCTAAAAATAATATCTATTTCTGTTCTTAAATATTCTCTTAATCCTAATGATTTGGGAATGTTAATGACAATTTAAAATTCCTTTTTTATTACACTATATTTCTTTTATTCTTTCTACTTTTATTTCCCTATTTTAGATGATCTCGTTAAACCTATTATTTAAATATCAACAATATCTTAATTGCTTTTCATTTTCCTTCAAATGTATCTAAATTATTATATTTAAAATCAATAAACTTTTGTAAATATTTAATAACCTTTTTCAGATTAGAAGTTTTTAATAATGACCTAATTTTATTTCAAACAAATTCATTTTCATGAAAATGTTGTCATCATCAAGATTGATTTTCTTATTTTCCTATATTCAAAATTTTTTAAACAACAAAAATTTTTAAATTATCTATCAATTCATCATGATTTCAATATCAATCAATATTTCGTTAATCATAAATTTTTATTTTATAATTATCAAACCTAAATATTAATTAGAAAATAAATAATAATTGTTATAATTAATTTTGTTTTTTATTGAAATTCTAATTTAATGTGTGCCTCTCAAGTTTTTTTTTTCAAGAATTCGAAGTTTGAATAGGTCAAAACTATTGTTTCTTTATTTACAATTTAATATATCAAGATTAAACCTTGTAAAAATTTTAAAAACAATTTCATTTTATATTGTAATTGGAAGTTCTTTGTTTTGTAAATCCTCCGAAAATCTTTTGTAGAAAAGTCTTGTTATTTTCTTTCCATATTTAGATATGAGACCAATTTATTAAAGAAAGATTTATTTAAAACCCTCTTTTTGATTATTAATCCTTAGTGTGCATTTCACATCCATATAAGATTATCGAGATGGATGAATTCAACAAATTCAATTTTTAAAAAGAAAATTCGTTTCTTCAATTAATTCAGCGTGACTTCATTTTAAAGCATGCTTATATTGAGCACCTCTACAAAAAAGTTTTCAGTCCTAATTCACTCAAAAGGATATATGTTTTTCAATATTATATTAAATGGTTATATTGTATATTATTGCAATATTAAATTTTATACTAGTAATTTTAGAAGTAAGTATTTCTAAAACTAAATTTCTTGTCATCATCAATGTTTCATCGATTAAAATAAGTTAAATTTTTAATTTTGTTAAATTAAATTACTAAATTTTTAAATTGAGATAACAATGTAGAAATACTTTTTTATTCTTTTCAGATGAATAATGTTGGAAAATCTTAAACAACTGTACCAGATTACCCTTGAATAAACTACAAAATTAAGTAGTTTCTTTCCAAGAATTAAATTTAAGAAATGACTGAATATATTTATTTAAACGTTTCTATTATATCTTAACAGCAAACTCTAAATCCATTTTAATCCATCAATGAGTAGTTTGCACTGTATAATATAAAGATTTTTTACAAGATAGTAATGATTACAAAAGTGTGAGAGATTCAAACAATATTGTATTTTTATTAAAAATGTTATGATGGTTATTTATCAAATTAATATTTATAATATATATTTAATTAGTTTTACAATTCAGTTATTTATTTTAATTATTAATTTATGATAATAATACCCATTTCATAATAAAATTTGATTCTTATAGCTTATCATATAAATTGCAAGTCAATTATAGATTCAAAAATAAGGATGCTTGAAAATTGAAAAAGGATTAGAAGAATTAGACTCTTAAGCATTTCTTATTATAGTGATACTTTATTTATAAGGTTGAAATGCAACCTTAATACTTAGGATAATATTGTATGTGATACTTAAACCCTCATGCCTCTTTAGTAAGAATAATAAAAATTGTTTATCATGTCAAGTTGGATGCAGATTAACAAAGTATGAATGATTTATTTTCAATTAAATCAAATAATATTATATTCATTAAGATAATATATATAAAATCTTTCATTCCTTTTTTCCAAATAGTTCCATTAATAATGATAAAAGTTGTAAAAACAACATTATTATGTCAATATAAATTTATAAAGCTGCCACTATATAATCATCAATAGAATAAGAATATTCCTAAAAATCTAAATTTTTTTATTACTTTGTTTCCAATCAATAATTAGGTATCATATATTAAATAAAATCCATACAAGATGGCTAAACCAGCTACATATATCATGTATATAATTTTGGAATTGAAAATAAAGCAAAATAGTCCCAGCACCATCAAAACAGCTGAGAATATGAAAAGGCTTCCACCAGCCATTGTTATATCTGACTTTGTTGTAAAAGCATATAAAGTTAATGATATTGTTATTGCTAATGTTAATACTGCAGCAATTAGAACCAACTATCCACCATTTTCTGGATATATCACATATGCTATTGAGCAACTGTAACTCACTATCCAAGATTCACAAAAAGTAAATATTCCCAGAATTATGTAATTATTAGGAACTTTTCTAGAAACTCTAATGATTTAAATAATCTTTATACTTTTTACAGCAAACTATTGATATCTCACAAATCAAACCAATTATGAACAAAAGATAGAAAAGCCAATTGTTTTATAACTAATAAATTGCAAACCCTGTTGATAAGTAAGAAAAAGCACAAAATATAGTTGTAAAGACCAGTTGAAAGCTTAAAATTAAGTAAACCTAAATTAATTTCTAATCTTTTACTTTGCGAATGAACTGGATTCTAACATTTTCATCATTTAATAAGGTTTTATAATCTCTTTCTATCTCAAATGTACTTAAATTTTCCTAATACATAATAATTTAATATAATTAATTAATAGAAATTATGTTAATTGAGATTTAATTATTAACAATTAATTAATATTTTCGAAAAAAAATTGAATTTCCAGAAAAAAATTTTCATAAAAATTGAATCTTCATTCTCAATATTCATAATTTCACAAACTTTGTATAATTACAGATAATTATTAGCAGTTTATAGGTTATAATCATTGATGTGATTAAATAAAAGAAATTAATGATTTTATCTATTAGTAAAAAATAATCTTATAATTACTTGAAGGTTCTTCTTTCCTTTATTCAAGTGAAAGATGATAACTAAAATAATTTTATCCTTAATTTAAAATAGAACTAAAACGATAATAAACAAACTAAATTAATCGAAATCAGAATTTCAATTATTTGACTTTTTGTTATAATATGTGTATAAATAAATGAATATAAAGAATTCATTTCGCTTTCGATAATTTTTGATTCAGCATTTATATAAATTGAGTCTTATATTATTTCGGTATTAAACATGATGGCTAGTTGATCTGATGTTTGAGTTATAAACATATTCAATAGCTTCTTTTTTAAGAAATCTGTTGGCTATAATTCTAAACAACTTTTATTGGGTATCATCGTTAAAGTATTTCTTAATATGATTAATGTTTTTTATATTATTTTTTAATTATGTTAAGATTTTCAAAAATTCTATTCCTTATTTTTCACCTAAATATTTTAATATCTCAATTCTCTATCTAATTATGTATTAGACTATAGCTTTTGCATAATTTTTTTATATGTTCGTAGATTTTTGAGACAAATTTAATGCTGATAAACTTTTTTTTGATTTCAGTTTATTTGTCATAATTATTGAACTATTACTTTCCTCTTATTATTTCTCTTATTTTTAAGCTTCAGAACTTTCAGTAGGTAATTTTGATACCTCCATAACATTATTCTTTTCTTATAAGCAAGGTATCTATTGTAAATATTGACTATTGAAGTGAAATTCTTGTTATCCTATATATCCTTAGACTATTGGCATATAATAAATAGGATAAATAATTGGTTATTGGCTTTGGATGTAAGCAGTTGGGAAGGATTGATTCCACATAAGTTTTTAATTATTATTTAATCGATTTCATTTATACTATTTAAAGAAGAATTTCGGTTTATTTCCTTAAAAAAAATTATTTGATTTTTATAAAAATTTAGTATTTTATTAAAGTGATAACAACTGAAAAGCCTACTCTAGTTTAAACTTATGAGAAAGACCCTTTTTAACCTATATATGGATCTCTCATCTAATATGAGAGGTAAAATGATATCTCAAATTAATTTTCCTAAAATTTGATTTTTTATACAATGCATTATCAGTTATATTACTAAGTAAAATTTGTAAATTTTTTTTTTAAATATTCAAATGTTATATTCTCTGTAATTTAATCTTAAAAGGCCATATGACTTAACAAACATATTCTTATTTACTATTTTTGAATTGTTTCATTTTTTGTAAGTAACATTCCCTTTTTTTCATATATCAAATTAATTTATTCTAATAATTTTCTCAAAATCAGTGTTCAAATAAATTATATAAGAACCTAATTTGAATAATTAAACAATCCAAATTTTGTTTCTAATTCTAAAAATTAACAAATGCAAGGTTTCGTTCATTGTTAAAAAAAAAACGAATCAAGCATATAAACTTCGAAATCTATTTCAAATAGTTTTCTGAGCGTCTCAAGTTGTCAATCAGGCATCTATATAAAAAGTATAATTGTTATCTTTTTTTTGGAACAGAAATCTAAATTTTCATTTTCTATATAAAAGTAATGAAATTTAGATAAATAATTAGTTGATACATTATCATAATTCTGATTAATCATATATCATATCATTCCAAATCAGATAATCAATTGTGTAATTCATATTCATAATTATTAATTTAATATATAAAATAAATTATTATCAATCGAATTCTTTTTGTACTAAAAAAATTTTTCTTTAAAAAAATATTTAAATTCAACAACTTATTTATTCATAAAGCACCTTATAAAAAATTATCATAAATTCATTTCTTCAATCTAAAATACTTATTCTCTTTTTTCTTCAAATTGACCTTATATACTCATTTTAGATTTTTAAAGGAATTGGTCTAATATATAAAAAAACAAAGAATTTATTTTATTTTCAGTTTAAATATTTAATCTTTTTAATTATCTTTAGATTCTTTTTCTAATTATGCTAATTAATTTTTATTTGATTAAAGAGTGTAATTTCTTGTATAACTAAGGAGTATTATAGATAAAAGAAATAGATACATAATTTTAAGAATAATAAAGTAAAGGATGAGATCATTGAAGTCAATCGATAATAAGATTTAAAAGAATCTTTAGATATGATAAAATGATAAAAAATTGAACAAACGAACATTATTTTAAAGCAAAATTATATATATAAAATTCAATTTTTGTTGATTCAAAAAAATTACCACCATGATCTCTCTGCTTAGGGTCTATTTCGACTAGAAGATAAAAGACCACAGCATAATCCATTATTATTTCCTGAAGGTTTCAAACCTTCTTATTTTATTACTTATTGTTAAATAATTTATGGTCTATGCGAAAATATTTTGTATTAAGTAGGTTTGACATCTTTAAGCATTTTTTAAACTTCTTCTTTTGCACAATGATGTTTTGATAATTATAAAGCTGTTTTTCCTTTAGTACTCAATTTATCTTTTGATGCTCCTCTTGAAAGTAAGAATCGAATAACATCTAAATTTACTCTCAAATCTCTTGGATTTAATTTATCTTTAACTGCACAAAATAACATTAATAATGTATATCCTTTTTCAGCATTTACTACTGCATCAATATTTGCTCCATTATCTATTAATAATTCGGCCAGTTTAAAACATAATTGCTTATTCTCAAAATAATTGGTTTCTTCTTCCAATCTGCTGAAACAATAAAATAAAGGCACAGATCCTTTAGAATCTGCTTAATTTACATTAGCATCTTATTAAACTAAAAGTTCAGCTATTTCATAATATCCATTGCTACAAGCTAATTTTAAAGCAGATAATTCTTATGGTTTACTAACCATATTTACTTCTATTGCCTCATTTTATAAAAGGAGTTTAACTATTTCTAATTATCCTGTCGCAACTGCCAAAGCTAAAGGAAATATTTATTTATCTATAAAATCTTCACTAAATTCTTCTAAATAATTTAAATCTCTAAGATGAATTTTCATTGATTTTAATTAATCTATATTACCTTCATAAATGGAATGCAAAATTAGTTATTCGATATTGCAAATATTAGTGTTAGAAAAGCGATATGCTAATATAGATTAATACATATTACTTGATTCATCTTTCTTTATTTCTATTGTTTGCATATCTGGAGTAGGATCAGCATTTACTTATGGCAATTCTCCTATAACCTAATGAGAATTCGATCTCATTAATTTTATATTTTATAATTATTGTGTATGTTAAAATTAATTCCAGAACAAAAATTCAAAGTTTTAGCTTTTTAAATGGATAATATACACAAAATAATTCCTATTTTTTATAATTTAATTTAAGATGCTCTTTTGAAGCTTTAAAACTTCTAAAAATTAAAAATATATTTAATTGCCTTCAGAAATAAATATTTAGGAGAATTATATTTTATAAAACATTATATTTTATCATAATAAGACAAATTTGATTAGTTAATTGCTGAATATTTTAATTTGTAATATTTAACGTAAGTTAATCAATTCTATAAAAAAAACAATTTCTTGTATTTTTACTTGTAAAATAGTAAATTTTTATGAAATAATAAATTTTCTGATAACTTCTGATTTAAAAGAAATCTCTGACGTTCTAAGAAAAGTTTAGTTAAATATATAAATTATAATGTTGAATCTTTTATTTAATAATTATTTATAATAAAATTACAATTCAAAAATAAATGTCTAGAGGTATGTGTTTATGTAAATTTTTAAAGTTAAGAAATCAGAGCCCTTATTAATGGATGTCGATATAGTGGAAAAGGAATCTCACTAAAGAATGAAAGAAGGTATATATTTTTCTTGATTAATCTAGAAATAAAAATAAAAGGAATTTCTAATGAACCACATCCAAAGGATAGAGAATCTGGAACAGGAAGAGGGTATGATATTAAATAAATATTATGATAGAAAAGAAATGAGAAAGAATGGAGTTGGGAAGAATAATTGGGGAACATACAAAGATGATTTGAAAGACTATGGAATTGATGAAGACGAATCAGAAGATGCTTATAATGATGAAATTAAACAAAACACTACTAACTTTAGAGCAGCTGTACCTGAAAGGGAAATTATAATTGATGATCATAATTTCCCGAAACTTAGTTGATTTTTAATAATTAATTAATAATCAATCATCTAAAGATTTAGTTTCTTTTTCTTTATTTATGTTTTGTTATTAATCTTGTGTTTTTTAATATATAAGGTTGATTCTTTTAAAAACATTTTTCGCTTTTTATATTAATATCATTTGGTGCCACTTTTATGATTTCAATCTAAACCCAAATTTTTATTAGAAACTTAGATTAAAAATATAGATTTCATTTTAACAATATTTCTTACATAATTATAGTCATTATAAAAAATCAGTTAAAAATGGAAATCTTTGATTAACAAAATTTACAAAAGTATATTTGAGCAATGCAATTCAATAGCGAATGAGTTTATAAATTTTGAGAAATGATTTTTTTTATTAAATATGAAGAAAATAATAAAAATAATCATTTTGTAATTTTATAGATTCCTTTTTATAAGATGAAAGGATTTCATATAGAAAGTTGAGAAAAATATTTTTGAGTTAATGTGCAACTTTAATGATAATTAAATGAATTATTATTTAATATCCACAAATAGGCTTTGGTTAGAGAGTAATAATAAATACAGAGGGCATATTTATAATCATCAATTTTATAACCCATTAAAAGATTTAAAAAAATAATGAACTAGATGAGATACTAAAACCTATGGAATTAGAAAATGAGTATTGGATGATTGTTTGGAATATGAGAATGAATTTGACTTCTATTAGTGATTTAATGTATATTCATAATTATTTGGTAAAGTCAATATGTAAATTATCTCTACAATTATCGAATGGAATTTTTTAGGTTTAACAGTCTTTGAGAATGTTTTTGACGCAATTTTTAAAATACATGTTTCTAAAATTTGTATTGAATTCTATACTTTTTATGATCTGTTTCTCCATCCTCTGGAATATCTTCATAGGTATTTAGAAAACAAAGGGATGATACACACCAATTAATACAGTTGTCATTAAATCCTTTGGGTAAATGCAAACATTATTGATTTTCACAAATTTTCTCTAATTTGGTAATGAATTTATCAGATAAAGATTCCCCTTTAGGAAAAGCGTGTATAAAAAGTGTAATTAATAAGATAGTTTAGAGGTGTGATTAAATCATTAAATAATTATAGATATGGATTAATAATAAGGAATTCCTGCTGAATAAATAAACTAATTAGTAAATAAGCATTTCGATGATGCATTACCAAAATTGATAGAGATTTTAAAGATTCCTAGTCAATCAAGAATGTTTGATCCAGAATATTTAACAAATGGATTATTGTTAAGAACAGCATAAGAATTCCGAGATTATATATTAGGAGCCAATTTAAAGAGTAAAAAGAATAAATATAAAATTATTTAGATGTTAAAGTAGAGCTATTAGAAGATGAGGGATATTCTCCATTCTTATTTGTTGAAATAGATGGATCAGATGGTTAGACAGATGGAACAGTGTTATTTTATGGTCATATGGATAAGTAACCACCATTTAATGGTTGGAAAGAAGGATTGAGTGCATATGAACCAAAAATAGTAGATGATAAATTATATGCAAGAGGAGGAGCAGATGATCATTATTCAGTATTAGGAGCAGTGATAGCAATTAGAACAATATAAGAGTTAGGTTTAAAACATCCAAGAATTGTAATGACATTTGAAGCAGATGAAGAAAGTGGATCTGCACATATAGATCATTATTTGGCAAAATTAAAAGAGAAAATTGGAGATGTTGATTTAGTTGTTTGTTTAGATTCAGGATGTGGTAATTATGAATAATTATGGATAACTACAACACTGAGAGGTATGGTAGGTGCATGTGTTACTGTTAAAGTTTTAGATGAAGGAGTTCATTCAGGTGATGCATCAGGCGTTGTACCATCTTCATTTAGAATCTAAAGACTTCTATTAGATAGAATTGATAATCCAAACACTGGAGAAGTTGTTGAAGATTTCTAAGTTAACATTCCAGGAGAAAGATATCTATAGGCTTAAAAAGCAGCTGAAGTATTAGGTAAATCTACTTTAACTAAATTCCCATTCCATGGAACTACTTAACCAACCACTTAAGATTATTTTAAAGCATATTTAAATAGAATATGGAAGGCTTAACTATCAGTTGTTGGAGCTGAAGGATTACCTTAAGCTAAAACTGCTGGTAATGTACTTAGACCTGAAACTACTCTTAAATATTCTTTAAGATTACCACCCACCAAAGATCCTAAAGAAGCAGAGGCTGCTTTTGTTAAAATTGTAATTCTATTTATACTAATTATAGTTAACTACTAATGTTCCATATAATGCTACTGTTAAAATCAATGGATTAGGATCTGGTTCTGGATTTAATGCTCCAATAAATTAACCATATCTTGATTCACTTATTTAAAGTGCTTCCTAATTATTCTATAAAAAAGATGCACAAACTTTAGGTGAAGGAGGATCTATTCCACTTATGAATACACTTAAAGAATAATATCCTAAAGCTTAATTTATTGTCACTGGTGTATTAGGACCAAACTCTAATGCACATGGACCAAATGAATTCTTACATATTCCATTCACTAAAAACTTAATTAGTTGCATTACATACATTGTAACTGGTCTACAAATACATTTAAAGAAATGAATGAAATGAAAGAAATCAATAAATGAGTTATTATTAAAAAAATCATATCATATTATATTATTTTTTTTATTTATTTAGTACATCTTACTTTTTACTTAAGGAAACATTTATTTATTTTCTTATTTACTTTCTTAATACTTTTATTTCATTTTTATTATTATAATTTTATGTCAACTTGGAGAGCATTGATTTCCCCAACTAAAAATATTTCCCTTTAAAGTTCTCATAAAGAATCTTTGGATAATCGGACAGTCTCAAAAATCAAATCTAGGCATACTAAAAGAATTACTTAAAGCATAAATCTATCTTAATATAAACCAACTATCAAGAGAGAGTATTCAAAATCTATTGATTGTGATTAAGCATTTATTCAATCATCTTCTAAAGATTTCTTAGCTGTATTAATTATTTTTAATTTTTCAGAATTTTAATGTAATCAATGACAATAATCAATTTAGAGAAATCAAGCAAATTTTGATCTAAAACTAGACAAATTTAAAATCATTACACTAAGACATCAATACATTTGATTATAATTAAAGGCAAATTTAAGCATTATAAAAATAAATACTTCATTAAACAAGTAAGTATCATTAATCTATAAACGCAAAAATAAATACATGCCAAAAATAAATATAAGATATATAATTATTACTTTTGAGTAAAAAATGAATTAATATTATGAAATATATTTATAATAATATAACCTATGGGTGCTGTCTGTTGTACCGAATAATCTGAAAGAGCAGGTGAATTAGATATGAAAATAACTATATTAGAGGCTAATAATTAATAAATTGGAAATGGAACTGTTACTATATCAAAGGAATTATATGATAGTAAGGATAAAATATAAGTATAAATGGAAATTTGCTATTCATGTCAAGTATTGAAAATTCGATGTGAATGTAAATCAGTATAAAAATTGTATGGAGATATGGATGAAGAAGAAATATTTATAAATTCATCTTTATCTTTAGATAGTTCATCTTCTGAATCTCGTCCTGACGATACAAATACTAAAAAAACGATTTTAAAGCATTAATTACATTATGTTTCAAATACACAATAATAGCAAATTTAAATAAAAAAGAAGGTTAGATTCGATTTATCTAAGAAATAATGATATTAACTAATGTTTTTTGTTTTTACTTAATATAAATATACATTCATTCTACTTTTTATTTTTCTTTATTTTCTGCACCTTCTTAAGAAGAGTTTTCATCCTCAGATGAATGTTTTTCTCCTTCCTTTTTAGGTGTAGATTTATCTTCATCCTATTATTTTACATTAACTTTCTTTTAATCCTTCTTTTATTCTTTCTTTTTCTCAGGAACACAACAAACTAAAAAATATAAAAAATTAAATACTTATATATGAAAGTAAAACACCTACTAAAACAAAAGAAGAAAGAACAAGCCATTCCTTTAATTCAAAAATTGATAAATCAGGTAATTCTTATGATTTATTTTTATTACGCTATCTCTTTCTTCCTGTATCTGATTAATCATTTCCATCATCCCCACCTTCAAATTCTTTTTTTTATTAATTAATCAATTCATCGATTGATTTTATGATTTTAAGAATTTCATTTTTTTTAGAGCTCTTCTTTTTTGATCCATACTTACTTAGATCAGCTTTCTCAACTAAATGTTTATGAGCCTCCAGATTAATTTTTTAAGTTTGTAATTATTGAATAATCTACTTAATACAGTTATCTTTACCTCCATTGTCTCTTAAGTAGAGATGCTATCTAAACATGTTTCAACTAAAGATGCAACAGCAAACATTACAGCATCTTCTTATGATAATCCTTGCTATTGAATCATCTCTCCTATAACCTTTCCAGCCTACGCTTAATTTTATTGTAAATAATATCTAGAAAAGATAACACAAGCAGCGTTTGTCAATTATTTTTCATCCTGAATTTGAGCGTAAGCTAATGATAACAAAATCAATATTAACATTAATTAATAATTAATATAGAAATACTAATAACTTTAAACATAAAAAATTTATATTAAAATCAGAAATCAAAATATCAGAATTAAATTTAAGGCTTTCTTTCTCTCCATAGTCAATAGTTTAACTGAAAATATATTTTAGTTTTTATTTCTAAATAAATTATTTTAGCTAATTAAATTTTGATAATAGTCTCAAAATAATTAAACAGCATAAAAAATTAATTTTTTTAAATGCTTCTTTACACTTTTTATATAAATACTGGCTTATTTCTTAGATTCATCCAATAAATCAATAAAAATTGTAATAATAAATTTTTTTGGAAGACTCATAAGTTCTATCTTTTTTATTTTCCATTATTGTTTTGAAGAGAATTTCATTTTAGAATTTTTAAATTTATATAATTTTTTATAAAAAATGAATACTTAGATGAAATTTTGTATGTTTTTCCTTTAACTTAATTAAAAGACTGATAATTGTATTGTTAAATAATCTTTTGCTGAGTTTACAAATCAAATCATAATTTTATCAAATAATTAGATAATAATTTAATAGAAATAAATTGATATAAAACCAATATAATCATTTTTTTTAATTTACTCTAAACTTATTTAATATTTTATTAATTACATTCAAGTTAAAAGTATAAAGGCTAGCATTTAAATCAAATTTTGAAAAAACTAATGAACCTTTTTTTTTCCTAAAATTTTCAAAATTTCTTATTATGCTGTCTGCATTATCATGTTTTTTATAATATTGGTAGAAATAAATTTTATCAATATCGTTATGATGAAATTATAACTCTAAATTAAATTCATCCAAAAATGATCCTTAATCATAGGGTATCTAACTAAGTGATTCATTTATTGAATTACTGGCTTAAACATCCCTTAAATTACTCAATTATCTAATGGATGTTTTTTTTTTATATTCCTGTTTTTTTCCAAATATTGTTTTTGCATTTGTTTTTCTTCTATCAACTTAGGTTCTTTTAATAAAATCCTAAAAATTAATAATTTCATTGTCTTAATTATTATCTATATCCTTATTTTGTATTTTTGGTTGTATTGAGTATTTTTTTTTAATAGCTTATTTTCTAATTTACAAAACATCTGGTGTGTCTATTCTTATTGATGAACCATCAATTTATTCAGCAAAATTAGCTGATTATTAATAGGATTTAACTGATTTTTATATTTCCTTATACATAATTCTTACATTTAGTTTTTCATTCAACCTTTTAAAATTTTAATCTCTGGCTTAATTTGAATTAAATAAGGATTTTTTAATTCTTTGTTCTAAATTTGGTCTATAAGTCAAAAATGGACACTCAATCGTTAAATGATTATATTTTTAGCAAATTTTGCAATTATTTAATAATATCGAGAATGAATTATTAAAAACTATAGTATCTTTAATATTATGAAATTTCTCAAAATCCTTTTAGTTATATCTTATCAAATTAATAAAATCTGCTCTTTTTATTTAATATAAAGATGAAAATCCCAGACTTAAAGCTGAACATTTAGGTTATAACCCTGTAAAAAATTAATACTCTCCTAAAGTTTCTCCTTTTTTTAGTGTTGCTATCACTTTTTTGCTATTCTCTTCTATCAAATCAATTTATCCTTCATCAATATAATATCTAATAATAATTCAAATAAATACAAATTTTAATCATCAGATTCTCCTCTATGATACACAAAATCATTTGGTGTTAATTTAATAAACTTTAATTAATCTGTAAGATTTTTTAGAGATTATTTTGAAAATTATTGATTTAATACTTTAATATTATTAACAATTTTTGTTTATAAATCTCTATTTAATTCTGATTTTAATCCATTAGGTAAATCATTTATTATTTAATAAACACTCTCTCTATTTTCTTAAAACTCTCTATCAATTTGATACTTAATGTAATTTCTGACTCTTGACTAAATTGTTTCATCTAACTAATATTTTCTCATATAATTATTTATCAAAATTAAAGATCTTCTAAAAATAATTAGTAATTAAATTAATATACGTTTATTTTTATTTTTGATCATGATATGATTTTAAAATAATTCCAATAGAGTTTAAAGAATAGGCATACATAACACTTGAAATAAGCATCATAATGTTAACAAAAGTCATTTCAACCTAATTTTATGGTATTATATCTCCATATCCTACAGTTACCATAGTCATTGAAGCCCAATAAAATGAATGATTATATCTTACATAAAATCCTTCATGAATAAGATTGTATTCAATTAGCCATGTTGTACCTAAAGATGTAGTTTATACTCCAATATAATGCCAAATACAGGCCATGTAATGAGCAAAAAAATATACTAGTATGATTAAGCTTATTATATCTTTGGAATTACTTGTAATTTCTTTTAGATATAATTATTCAGTATAATTTTAAAAATTATTAGATATTTGAATAATCAAAATAGCGATTTAAATTAAAAATATGAATTCTCTTGCAATATTAATTTAATAAAATTTGTAATAGCATAAAACCCATAAAATTATACTGCTTAAGTTCTTATAGACATGATTAATTATATATGTTTTTATTATTGATTTTCTCTCTTCAATAATTTCTCCTTGATCAATTATTGCTCTATTTAAATTAATTGTTATATCAAAACATAAAAATATTATGATTATTATTTCAAAATTCTGAAATATTGATAAATTTTCATTAAAGGCAAATAAAATTGGGCAAAACCATAAACTAAATAAATTAATAAGCAGTGATAATTTATCCCAAATGATTATTGTTGTATCTCCTGGGAGAAATAACAACTTATTTGGATTTTGACTATTTATTTCTGGGATTACAAGAAAAAATTACTTCTCTTTTTTTTAGAAGCATCTTCTAACAAATATGATTCAGATTACAACAAATGTTTCATATGGTATGATAGAACATAAGATTATTATAGTAAATTATTTTTAAACTTTTAAACTAAAGCATTTTTAAGAAAGTTTCTTAATAAGGATGATTTTTCTTATTTTTTAATTGATTAACTATCAGTCCTTTGATTATTTTTCTAAATATTTCAATTATAATTACTGATTAATTTGGTTATCTACGACTAAAACTTTTTGAAGCTTTACTTAAAAAGCCTGCTTTTAATAAATCAAATTGTTAGCTTTTACTTTCAATAACATTGTTTTAAGATGTTTCAGATGGTTAAGAAACATTAATTTCTGATCCTTTTTAATAAGCTTCTATTTGGGTGTAATTCAATTATAATTAAGGTCCTAAAATAGGTGATGATATATGTCCCCTTTCACTATTAATATATTGTAAAGACATCTTTATGTATTTTAAAAAAATTTATTGTAAAAATAAACTAATTAAAATTACTTCCCCAAATCATTAAATAAACTCTTGCATCTATTATATGAATTGATGTTCGCTATATTAAGTGGTTTATTTTATATAAATAGATATTATTGAATAAATCAATATTTGTATCACTAAGAGAATTTTGTAAAGAAATTTATTTGAATTTTTTAATTAAACTGGTTAAATTAATATCAATTAATCTTCTAAATCTTTTATTGGAAATATTTTAAAATATTCTTTTTAAATCTTTTTATTTAAGCAGGTAAAATTATAAAGATTTAATTAAAAGATAGAAGGATTTTTATATTTTTTTTGAATAGAAGATATAATCTTCTTTTAGGTCAAATATTTTTAAATTTTCATGATTTTTTGGGGAAATATGAGAATCTAGAAAATTTTTGATTTGAAATTTACTATAATTAAGATTTCTTTTAGTCTATTTCTTTAATAATATGAAAATTATCAAGAGAGTTAATTATATAGATAAAGAATTAATTGATTTTAGATTAATTGAATATGAATAAAAAGTTATTCTGAATCTATTTGATTAATATATAATAAAATAATTTATATAAATAATTATTTATTTGCAAAAGAGAAAATGGGAATATGCTCATCTAAAAAATAAGAATCAAAAACAAATATTATAGTAAGATTAGAAGATCATGTGAAAAGAATTGATTAAAATAATGTTCACGATTAAGCTTTATTAATTTTATATAATAGTAGAAATTAAAGAGTTTGTCACTTAAATGAACCAATAATGAGTGGATTCAGTAAATAGTTTTAAAAGACATAAGAGCCTTCTTAAAAAAGCTCAGTGTGAAATAATTTGTAACAATGATTTAAATGTGATTTGTAATTAATATTTTATGAAATGAAAATAGATAATATAATTTAGTAATAATTATAACAATATATAAGTATATCATCATATTTAGAAATGAAAAGGCTAATATAGAGTACTGACTTTAATGTGGCAATTCCTATAAGTAGCACAAAACATGCAATTAATGATGGTTTGTTAGTTTATAAAATTATTGATAGATTACTTCATGTTCCAAAAATATAAATGTTCATCACCAGCAATTTTAGGGGATGTCTTTCGTTGTAATACACCAGTCTAATCTTAATTATCACCAATCGAAAATTAATAAAAAAGTTGCTTTTCACTTTTATCAGACAACTGTGATTTTTCTGTTAAAGATGTATCTCGAAAATATAATAACTTATCTCGATAATAAAGCATTTAAAAAGAAAATGAAGAAGAAACAGTTAAAATTTAGCGAATTATACAACAGGAATAAATAATTCTAGAAGAATAGGAGATTTTAAATAAAAAATTACAAAATATCAGATCAGATACATATTAATAATTAGATGAACTTGATAAATGTAAATAAGATTATAAATATTTTAGAATATCTACAAAAGAGATAAGAAATTATTAAATAACTATAATTTTCAATTGGCTAATATGGTAGTAATTTTAGGGATAGTTAAATTAAAGAACCACCATTAAAAAGTGCTTTAAAGAAAAAAGAAAATAAAAGATAACATACTTAAGATAAATATTAAAATGAATTAAATGATGAAGATTCCTAAGATGACTGGAACTTTATACATTAAGCTAAAATTAATCTTGAAAAATAAAGAACACATTAAAATACTGACGATGAAAGAACTCCCTCCAAAGTTCGATTTGTAAGTACTAAAGATTCTAATTAGCATAAGAAGATGCGAAAAAGCATTAATATATCTGATTTAAACATGTTTTAAAAATTTAGGCATTGAATTATTAATCTCTCATAAATACAAATCGAACATCATCATTTTTCATGTGATAATAGGGGAGGTTAATAGAAGATACTAGTTTTTGTTTGTTATTTGCTTCTTCTTGGTTAAAACTATATAATTTAAGAACTTCTTGCCACTTATTTCAATCTTTTTAATTTGTATTGAGTTTTAAATTTTTTAGCTTTATAAAAAATTGTATACTTTCCAATATTTTTTCTATTTAATATTTTAACATATCTTTGAGATTTCATATAATCAAGAATAATTATGGGAAAATTAAATTCGCTAAAATAATATTTAAATTATTCCATCCTATCTATATCACAACATTAAAATTATGGAACAATATCATTTATTTTTAATTCAATAGGTTAATTTTAGATTTCAATATTTATTGCAGATAAATTACTATGCAAATCAGTATTATCTGCACTTTTTTTCCCTTTTGTTCTAATTGTAGGTTCATATGAGCTTTTTTCCTAATCTGGCATTATTTTAGTAACAGATATTTATAAACCATTCTTTTCTCCATTTCTAATTGTTTATTTTGATCTTTCTTATGATACTGCTCTATTATAACTTTTATCTAAATATTTTAATGATATTTTCTATTCTTAATGTTATTAATGTTATTATGATTACTATTTATCTGATGACATAGATTTAAATCTTGATCTATTTCTTTAATAAACTTTTTCTAATGAACTCTCTCTCTCTTCAGGTTTTTCTTCTACTTAATTTGTTTCAGATGAACCTGGAGATGGAGGATGGAATAATTCTGATAATTCTTCATTATCAAATAATTTTGATTCAGTAATAAATTTGACGCATTGATTACAATTTTCCTGTTTCCTAATTAATTCAATAATATACTTTAAGTTTAGTTAAAGAATTTTTTGTTTTACGTTTTGATCTATTCTAATATTTTCTTTATTAAAATAAAAAACCTTCTTTCTTTATTAATTTCTCTAAATCTGGGATATATCTGACATATGGACAATCTGTTATAAAATGAGTAGATTTTAAACAATAATTACACTTCAATCCTGACTATATACAAGGTATTTGTAATAATAAATGATCTTTAATGCTAAAAAACTTTTCTTTATCTTCTTAATTAGAATTTAAAATTTCTAGAGTTTCTTTTCGAGAGATTTTATAAATCTAACTAAATGTCATGCTTTTTGCTGTGCATTTTCTTAATTCACCTGTAAAAAATTCATATTCACCAAAACAATCACCTTTATGCAAAATACATAATGTTTGTCCACTTTACTGATCAATTAAATTAACTTCACCCTTAACTAAAATATATAATGACAAATCATCATCTAAACAATTTTTATTATATATAATTTCTTAAGGATTAAGATGATGAGATTATAAAGAAAATGCAATCTATTTCTATATTTCTTAAGATAATTGATATTTAAAAAAATAGCAATTTTGCAAAGGTTTACTTTATATATCATAAATTAATTCTTATCTTAAATTAGGTGTCAGTTTTGAAATAATAGAAGAAATCTAATTTCATAAAAATCTTACAATACTTCATCATCATTTTTGATATTATCTTGCTCAAAATAAAATTTCAAATAATTTCTAACTTTACTCTGTAATTATTAATTCACTGAATTTTAATTCATATATCTATTCATTTATACTGAAAATTTTCTAAAATCAAAATATGATTTAAAAATTACTTATATTTTTAAACTCTAATACTGATATTTTGAAGTATCATACCAATAGAATTTAGAGAATAACCAAATATAGCACTTGATACAATCATTGTTAAATTACAAAAAAGCATTTCATAAGGATTTTAAGGAGTAATATCTCCATATCCTACTGTTACCATAGTCATAGTTGACCAATAAAATGAATAATTGTATCTAATCCAAATTGTATCATAATTCATAGTCATCAAAGACATCCAAGTATTATAACCTATTTCTTCAGTTAATAAAGCTATTTTTTGCCATATACAAGCTGTAATATGAGCAAAAATAAATATTATTAATAAAACTTTAGTTAATTCAAAAAAATTTTAATATTCATCAAATGTCTCCTATAATTTTTCTAAAAAATGTCTCAATCTTGTAATTGTTATATAAACTTATATCACAGCTAAAACAACAGAAATTGCTTCAATGTTATTTGAGTAATTAGAATCATTTACAAATAAAATTAGAATTGAGATTAAATCAAATGTTAAATCGGTTTTTACATAATAAATTAATATTAATCTTCTATTTTCTAAAATAGATCCTTAAACCAGAAGACTTTTATTTGTTTTGATTAAGATATCAATTATACCTATATATCTTAAGAAATTCTCAAAAACTACAATCATTGTGTTTGAGTCTGGTTTAAATGAGACCAAAAATGGTCCCCAAAAAGTAATTAACATTATTTGAAGAAATAATACTAATTCCCAAACTAATACAAAGGTACCTTAAGGAGGAATAATAGGAAGCTTATAAAACAAGCTTCTTTTATTATCTTCTCTATCTTAAGACTTAAGTTTTACGTCTTTCAAGTAACGTTCTTAGGTAACCGAAATAAAATCTTTATTAATGGACTTTGGAAAAACATATGCTTTTCTTTTAAGTTTTTCTAAAAATGAATTAACTAAAGTTTTAATTATGATTAACTAATGTAACTATCTTTAATCATTGTCTTATTATTCAAATTCTTATTTTCCTCTAATTTATTCGGATGTAGGCTATGTTTAATAAATTATAATTACTGTA